TCCATTTTGTCATCCTTTGGCTCTGTTCTCCAGAAATTTCCTTACCATCCATCCCTTATACCTGGTGTTCCCTTTCTGCTCATAGTTTCGCTTTCCAAAGGGCTTTTCTACACTCTGTGTGTTCTTTTTAAATATCTCCCTCTTCCTGTTTCTCAACTGCACCTTCTCCTCTCTCTGGGAGTGTTACCAATAGTTTGCTTTTGAGGTGTTCTTCTCCCTAAATGATCTTTATGTACTACATGTCGGTTTCTCTGTTAATTTCAGCCCCTGTCTTTTTGTCTTAGGTGCTTGTCTTAAAGGTGAGGTGATTTCTGGTTGTCTTCTCAGATGTAGGAGTGGGGTACCAAGGTGCCAATTGAAAACTTGTCTGTGGTCATTTCTTGGTGGGATGATCAGGTTGTGCCATTTCCTTGGAGAGCCCCTCACAGGGCCCTTTATGTCTTTTCTCTTTGGCTGGTAGATTCCTAGGGAAATACTTTCTGTTGCCTTTCTTAGAGGTACATGCTAGCTGCCTGCTGTTCAGGGAGTGGTGGAGAGGGAAGACGAATGAGAGAACTTAAGGAATTCAGTGTGTATTCTCTTTACCTCTGTTTTCAGTAAGGTATCCCTGCCTTCTACTCAGGCACGTCTGGCTGCCTTTTTTTTTTAACCCTTTCCAGAGAATAACCCCCTCGTTGTCTTCTAGCTGCTTCTTAAAACAGACTTTTTATCCCTTCTTTTGACTTTTAGCAGATGTTCACCCCCATGTCGAGAAGTGTCCTGTGTCAGCACTTTATGAGAGTTGTTCATTTGAATCAGATTGCATTTTGGAGTTGCTCACTTGCAGCTGAGAATGAAATTTTCTCGGGTCTGTCAAGTTACTTACCTGCTTCTCAGCTTCTAAAATTTTGTTGTGTTGTTTGCTCTCTCATTTTCTTTTTGTCTAAAGTGGGTGCCTTTAGGAAGAATCTTTAAATTGGTCTTCAATGAGATTTTGAGAGGATGTGAACGTAAGTTAACGCCGTTACTGGGTCACTCCCGGCGGTGGAGGCTGGCGCTGTAGTCACTCTGGGATGGAAACAACTTAGGGTCTTACTCCAGCGTGTTCTGTATTGTCACTCAGGGGCCTTGCTGCCCCCACGGGCCCTGACCAGTTGTGGCCTGGTGGAGGCTCAGTGAAGGGCTGAAGACGGGGCCACAGGTCATTTCGGGCACAGCGACTCCTGTTTCTGCTCAGCCTTCGTCCCTCAGTGCCTGGTAGGGGTCCCTGTCTCTCACGTCCCAGGCCCTGGAGGGCTTGCCGTGGGTTCCTGCTTGGTGCACTGCCGTCTCGTTGCGCTTGACGGGGCATCCAGGGGCATCCAGGAGCGTCGTCTCAGAACGACGCGCGGCTGGTGCTTGTTGTCAGACCTGGGGCACATCCGTGGTCTGCAGTCCCAGCACTGGCTCCTCTTCTTAACTGCTCGTGCGGGACTTCTTCCCTGCTTTTGTTCTACTTATTGCTTGGAATTATCTGGCTCCTTCTCAGTTTTTATCTAGTTACTCTTGTCTATAAAGTTTGCATCCGAGGATACACACCTGATTGTAGACACAACGCCCAGGGGTGTCTGCTGTGCTCGCTCCTGTGCTGACCTGGGAGCCAGTCTCTCCTGAAGGCACCTTTGCGTTGTCCTTGTGCGTTGGTTTTAGAGTTTGTCCAGAAGCTGCCTTGCTTTCACTCTACATACAGTCGGTAAATGCCAATTCTTATTGGTTCTCAATGTAATCTGAGCCCCATTTACCATTTCACATCAGGCTGTAGGCAGACACTACCTCACTGGAAAACTTTTTCTTTGGAGGAGAAATCTGGCCAGTATAAAAGCTGCAAGCTTAGGCTGTTAGATCTTGTCTGCTTTTCCCTGAAATGGGAAGCAGTGACAAAATTATTCCCCAGATTCCTGTGCATCTGTCTCTATGACAATTCTTCCATTTTTAAATACAGCTTATATTCACTTTATTGCACCTTTGTGAAAATGTTGCAATATTAAAGTGATTAGTAATGGTGATTTTTTTTTCCCCTTGAACAAGAGCTTCCTCTCTGGAGAAGCCATTTGGAGAAGAAGAATTTTTTTGTAAACTAGGAGAATTATTTTTGATTACTGTCAGAATACTTATGGAATGTCTTTCTCTTCCTAAAGTTGTACCAAATCTTTGGAATGTTGATGGAGAAGTTGCAGTCCCTGAGCAGAAGCCGGGAGAAGTCGCCGAGGAACTTGCAAGCTCCTATGAAAGAAAGCTCATCGAGGTAAGGCTGGCAGAGTCCGTGACACTGGCTGCTTTGGGGACTTTACACGCAACAGGCCCAGCCTGCTGAACAATGTTAGCCAAACAACCTGTCACACACTCTGCACCCCTCTCCCCCAACAAACAAAACACAAAGTGGGGGCACCACTGTCATTGGTACAGAAAAGTAAGAGGTGGTTCTTTGAAACATATCATTTAATTAGAAATCGTGGCAAGGAGATTAAGAGAGAAAACGTACATCTGTAATGTTAAAAATAAGAAAACAAGTGTACTCTTGAATTTGGAGATTAGAAACAGGAGACTATCGCATACAGCTTCGCGCTGATAAACGGGGAAATGTGGATGAGATGGGCTGTTTTCTAGCACAGCGTTCAGTGTCATAATTGCAGATGAGGCCTACTACCCGAGCGGACCAAAAAACCTGTGGAAGAAAGTTGTGAAAGTTAAGGAGGAACTGCATCCCAGAAGGCTGCAAGCCTGGATGGTTTTATGTGGTTTCCAGGAAACCCTTCAAGGTGCACAGAAAAAGCCCTTTGCTCTTTATATTTCCTTACAGCATTTAAAAAATCTGTATCTGTTCCCTTGATTCAAGTGTATATCACTCCAATATAAAAAAAAAACTCGATAAAAATAGCATGAACAAGAAAACTATAGACTAGTAGCATTTGTGGATGGATGCGTAAAAATTCAAGAAAGCTATCACCCAGTCAAATTCAGTTTTATATTAAAGGAAAAACACACATAAAAAGTAAGATTTACTTAGGATTCCTGGCATGGTTTAATGTTAGGAAATTCATCTATTAAATCCATCCATTAATAGATCAAAGCAGAAAACCAGATACTTACCTTGATAGATACTAAAAAGTCCCTTTGATAACGCATGTCATTAATATCTGATAAAATATTCTTGATAAATGAAAAATAAAGGTACGTCTTTGATAAAGTGTTTTTGTCAGAAACGATTAGTTATCACCATACTCAGTGGTAAAGCTGGGAGACCAAGCTCTCAGTTAGGTACCTAGTATATACAGTATGTGCTGGTGTGGTCACATGTGGTCACGTGGTGACAGCATTTATCACGCCATGTGTTTGTATACACACACACATAAAACAACGTAAGTGTTCTCAGTACTTTTGTCAGGACTTTCCTACAGTGAGTAAGTTCTATTTTTGGAATCAGAAAAACACCCGCCGCTGCCATGGAGACATCCCTGACCTGGGGTGGGTCCCAGGGGCAGAGCCTTTGAGGGGGAGCCCCTGAGCTCCTGCCTGGTTCAGGCTGCCTTCCTTGTGGTCTGTTTCGTCTGGTTTCTAAGTGACCTCTAAGGAAGGGAAGTGGCTTGAAGCTACTTGAGTTCTAACTGCAGTGAGCTCAGGGAAAGGCAAGCTGGGATCTTAGCAAAACCGACAGCCGGGGGAAGTGTTCCAAACAGGACGAGAGGGCCTGGGCTCTGGGGAGACTGTCCCTGCAGGGTCTCTCCCCACCATCTCGCCCACCCGTGGGCCCTCATTCAAGGGGGGGGGGTCACAAGACCAGGACTGGCTGGTGGCAGAAAGCTGGGTAGAGAGGGGAATCGGGCCCCTTACCCTCGGGACTGTGACATCCTCAGTGGCCGAGGCTGTCTGTTTCATCTCTGTGTCTGTGACTGTTTTTTGGCCAGCGGTAAATGCTGCATGGCCCTTGAATGAAAGTCTTTGAAATTCTCTAGGACACGCATGGCTCTTGTTTGCTACGCTAAGAAGGGTGAAGGATTCTTATCAGAGCGAAAGGGCGTTGGGAGCTCCTGTCCCTTTCAGGGGAGCCAGGGTGAGGTGTCCACTTGTGAGGCTGTTGTCAGAGCCACGCAGGCTAGAGACCGGTGCTTGTGTCCCTGGACTCCTTGGGGCGCTGGGCCTGGGGCGCATCTAGGGGCCTGACGTGCTCATCAGAAGCTGGGGCTCAGGATGAATCGACTGGCTGCTTGATGCTCTGAGGAAGCCCCACAGTTCGTTCGTGGGCCGGGTGCTTGCTTGGTTGGTTCATTCACTGTTTGTTCCCGCTTTGACTGTGAGGAAGTCTCACTGTGTTCCAGCCGGGGTGTGCGGGCAAGATCAAGGTGTGTGTTACTGTTGGATCCACTTGTGTTGTTGCTTTGTTACCTGTCAGAGAGGGAGCGGTGGTCAGGGTGTGAAGCCTTCCCTTGCCGGCTGTAAGCCTTCCTTCGCGTCCTTCTGTGAGTCCCGTACCTTGGGGGCAGTGGAGCTGATGGCTCCAGTCAGCAGGCTGGGAGAGACATGAGGCTAAAGCAGAGACGGTCCTCAGTGGCATTTACTACCCTGCATCGATTTTTTTTATTCTGAATTTTGGTTGCCAAGTGAGTTTCTGTCAGTGATCTTTCATCTGTGAGTAGCATTAGCATTTCATTACAGCAAGACTTCTGCGAACCCTTTATGTAGCATTAATCAAGCCCATTCTTTGTGATGCTATCTGTGATTTTATTAATGGGTTGCTTTTCACCAAGAAAGAGTTGTAAACACGCGTCAGAGAGGAGCAGTGCAAGGATGTGGGGGAGAAGCTGATGCACTGCTCTTTCCATTTCAAAAGGGCAAAGGAAGAAAAACAGTTCATTTTAAGTAATAGGACTGTTTAAAATACCCCAAAGGTTGAATTCCTCCTCTGTGATTCATCCCAGTGAAAAGGGAGTTCCTGAGCCTTCTCTCTCTAGGTGTCTTTCAGGGCGTTGAAACCGTCCCACCTACCTGCACACACACGCTGCACGCTGCACGGCTCAGAGCCCAGAGTCAACCCTGTACACAACAGCTGGTGAGCGTCGGGGGCCAGGGCGGTGCGGGGTTTATTCCTGACACCCTATGGTGGTCACCTTTTGAAAGCAAGAAGAAGCAGCCACTCCTGGCAGGTGTCTGTTAATCTGGCAGTGGAGGAACCCTAACATGAAGACACTAAGTGTACAAGAGCGGCTGTCACACTAGTAGCGAGCCGTCAGGTGCATACTGTTAATTCTCCTTACTGAGCTAAGGCTTTCTGTCGATGAACTCTGTGATCCTTGGCAGAGCTCCTTGAGGAAGATACTGTTCATGGATAGAGTTTCGAGAAGTTAAGAAACTTGCCCACGATTTCTCAGCTGGTAAGAGACAGAGCTGGGTTCGAATCACCCAGGCTGTCTAGCACCAGAGCCCAAACCCATAATCCTGCTGAGCTTTGGAATGCCGGGCTCAATGCAGAAAAGAGACCTTGATGAGAAGGGCCAGTCTCTCGTCACGTTTGGGAGAATGCATGAAGGGAGACGAGGAGGGAAGCCAGCAATAGTTGATGGAAATATGGTGCATCGGCCACTTGGAATAGCGCTGGGAGGGCCTCGTCCCACACCCTCAGTGACGGCGGAAGGACGGAGCGGAGGCGTCCTGGCTGCGCTCAAGCTCACCTGCTTCCAGAGCAAGTTGTAATAGAATGCTGGGCTGGGAGCTCCTTGGGGGAACTGTGGGTGTCATCTTTTTAATTGTATTTTCATTGCTTAATTTGGCTCCAGCATGTAGTAGGAACTCCAAAAATAGCAGATGGAATGGCAGTTTATCAAGTGGATTCAGCAGTTCAGGGTCATGTTTACGAGTGTTGGATGGACTTCTCTTAACTCTCAGATCGCGAGTAAGTTGTCAGAGGCACCCCTGTGGCTCAGAGCATGCTGGTGGAAAAGTCTCGAAATGACTTTTTTTCTGGCAGTTGATTTTAGGGGGCATTTCAGCTTGGAGAGTCTGGAGAGGACTCTGAGTGACAGACAGATGGGTGGTACCAACTCACGTAGCACATGTTTACTGAGCATCTCCTGAGTGTCCAGCCTTCAGTTTCCTTTCTCTGCCTTCAGTCGCTTCCCCTACCCTGGGAGCAGTAGAGTCGATTCTAGGAGATGAGCCACCAGGGATGTGAGGCTGAAACAGAGATGTTCCTCAGATGGCCTTTTCTTCCTTAGACTGAGTTTTCCTTCTTTTTTCAAATTTCAAAGTCATTGATGTTTCATTTGTGGATAGCGTCTCTGTAACCAAGGCTGGTCGTAGTTTACAAAAATGAACAGGACACAGTGCCTGTCTCTCGGGAGTTCCCGGCCTCGAGGGTGAGGTGGACATGTTCGTTATGATCATTAGGAAACAGGGTTGAAATGCCAGGAGTGCCGACGACGTAGAGTTAAGCCTGCCTCGTGGGGTCCTGGCACTGTGTCTTTAACAGCACTTCTGCAGAGTTTGGGCACCTCCCTGGAGCTTCTACAATGTTTGCCCCCTCTTCTTTGGGATTGTTAAGAGATGATGCTTGGAAATTTCTTTTGTAGACTTCCCATCCCTCTTGAAGCTCTAGACATCAGAGGAAATGGATCTGTTCTCACCCAGGGTTTTGAGGATAAAAGATATTGGACATGTCCAAAATAGATACACTCTTAAGATTCTTCTTTACCTCATTCAAGTAGAGTTCTTTTGGTTTGGACTCTTCTCCACAGATTTTCCCATTCTTTTCTAGTAGTTGCCATCAAATAAAAAAGTAAAATGTTGGTGGCATTTGGACTTGTGCTGTGTCGCCTTCTGCAGCCTGGTGGCTTGGAGAGCACACGGTATCCCACGTCAGTCTGGGATCAGATTGGTCCCTCACTGTCACGTGACCTCTCTAAGCCTCAGTTTCTCTGTCAGTAAAATTCAGCCAGTAATACTGACTGGTAGAGTTGCTTTGAGGATTAAATATAAAAATCAGGTTCAGTGCGTCTAGTGGGCAGGAGATTCCTTCGTGCTTTCTTTTCTCCCTTGTGCCCTGATTTCCTTCGGAGGAGTGAGCGCCCCAGCTTTGCTTGCTGTCTCAGTGTGGGAGTAGGAGGAAGTACTCTGCCCTCCTTCACCCCGGGGAGGCGGCGTTGACCTGAGCCAGGGCGACTGGGGCTTTAACTCAGGAATTAAATACGAATCCCGGAAATGCTTGAGAGGCCGTTGTTGTCGGGGTCCTCATGCCTCTCCCTATGTTCCCGT